CCCCCACCCCTCACGGGGTGATGGCTGAGATCCCGAAGATGGGGCCACAGACACACACGCAGCTCTTGCTGGGCAGGGAAGCCGCCTCAATAAACTTCCCGTTCTGTCTGGTTTCACATTCATCGTTGCGTTTGACTCTCCTGGTAGCATTTGAAAACCAAGAGCCTGATTCAGTCATGCTCCCAAGGCCACGTGCTGACGGGTTGCAGGCCTGGGACTCAGAAAACGTGAAGACGGCTGGTCGTTGGGTTCCAAGCCCCTCGCCCCTTCCTGTGCCACAGCCCCAGGGAGCAGCCCACAGACCCACCTTGTCAATGAAGGCAGCAAACTTGTTGTTCAGGCACTTGATCTGCTCCTTCTCCTGGTGCTTGACGCACTGCGCATTCGGGTCAAGCTCCAGGTTGAGGGGCGTGAGGAGGCTCTCGTTGACCGACACGCTGGTGATGCAGGGCGGGCTGGGTCCACAAAGTCCCCCTACGCGGTAGCCAAAGCTGCCCCCGCTGCGCAGGGGCCATCCACAGCTCACCGCCATCCGCGGGGACCCCACTGCGCACAGGCTCCGGCTGCCAAAGCCCCCGAGGCGCCTGTAGCCGAGCCCCCCAGGACTGCCCCCGCGGTAGGCCATGGCACTGGAGCAGCTGTGGGCCGACGGCTTGGGCAGGATGGCAGAGCAGGAGCTGAAGTTCCTGACCCCATAGCCGGAGCGGATGCGGTGGGGACGGCTGGCCATGCCTCCGCGGTGCAGGGCAGTGCAGGGAAAATGGAGAGGCCCGAAGCTCACAGGTCTCACGCTGGAGACCTGTCCGTGCCCCTGCCTTTTTATCAGGCAGACGACGGGCCTCCCAACAACATAAAAGGCAGGAGAAAGTTATTAAAGCTATTTATGAGCGTGGGAATCTCCCGCTAGGCAGACCGAGAAGGAAAGCTGAAACTTGTCTCCTTTAATGAGCATCTCAGGGAGACCCTGCATCACAATAAACCTGTCCCCTGCCTTTGCAACCCCACAGGCCTAGACATATCTATTTGGCCCCTAATTCCCCTCCCACCCTGTGAGTCCACCTGGGATCATTATCCCACAGGGGCAAGTGGAGGCTTGGGCCAGCACATTCCTGAGACTCGAAGGGTCCCATGTCCCATAAGGTCCCACGGGCCCATCCTTGCAGGCAGATCACGTGTTTTCCCCCCTAAGGCTGCAAGGATGCCTGGCTCATCTTTCCAGGGTGAGCACAAGTAGAGTGAACCCTTCAAGCCTTCCCTGCGCCTGCTTTTCCTACATTCTGTCTGACAGTAGAGTGACTGGGGTCGGTACAGCCTCCTTGATTCAGAAAGCACGTCTTCTCTATTTTGATAGCCCTCGTGGTAACTGACACATAGTAGGTCCCTGGGAAGCACGGCTTGAACTGAATAGACTGGACCCAGGAAGGAATGGCCAGTATCTGGACAGCTTCCTCATCTGGTCCACAAATAGTGATTGAGCCTCCTGCACGCCAGGCCCGGGGGCTGTCCTGGAGGAGGCGCCTCCATTCACAGGCCAGTGCTGAGGCCCCACCAGAGCGAGGCCCTAATTCAGATGCCGAGGGAAATAAAGCTCGGTGGACAGAGCTCGCTCTTGAAGAACCTGGGTCTCATGGGGACCCCAGACAGAGGCAGGAAAGATCCATGGCAAGAGGGGGAAAGACAAGTGATCGTGTAAAGGGAATGCTGAGGACTGAGGAGGGCCACACATGGCAGGTGGAATGTCGCAAGGAGGCGAGACCCGAGGCAGGTCCTAGAAGATGGCGACATGTGGCAGAGAGAATAGAAGCAGAGGTGCCAGGGACAGCCACCACCGCGGGCCTGGTGACGAGACAAATACCCAGTTCCTCAGGTCCTTTGCAAAACGGAGCCGTCAGCCAAGACTGCTCACCCCCAGCCTCCCACCCCGATCGTACAGGATGCTTTCCCTGTGACACCCCAGAACAGCAGGATGGAAATGGGACCCAAAGGGGAAAACCCCCGCCTGCAGCCCCGACTATCACGATACCCAAACCCCCAGCAACCCGGTCCTTGGAGTAAAGCTCTCATTACAGAGAATCTCTGTGCACAAGGACCAGAACGAGGAGTCATCTTCCAGAACTCCCTCTTGGGGGAGCAGGCTTGGGGCGGGGACATAAGAAAAGAGCCAAACAGAGCCAGAAAGAATGGGAAGGGTCTTTCCGCGCGCGCTCTCTCTCTCTCTCTCTCTCACACACACACACACACA